CAACCTTATTGGGACTCATTTGGCCGCCTCGTGGAACCTTTGGCTAGCCAAAGGCCTTGGATGGTGACCATTGGCAACCACGAGGTTGAAAAGATACCGATAATCCATCCAACTCCCTTCACCTCCTACAATGCTCGATGGCACATGCCTTTCGAGGAGAGTGAGTCTCCCTCGAACCTATATTATTCCTTTGATGTGGCAAGTGAGGTTCATGTCATCATGCTTGGGTCCTATACCGACTTTGATCAAGGCTCGAGCCAATATACATGGCTTGAGGGTGACTTGAAGAAAGTCAACAGAAAGAAGACATCGTGGGTTGTTGTGGTTTTGCACGCGCCATGGTACAATTCCAACATGGCTCACGTCGGAGAGTATGAATCAGTGGATATGAGAAAGGCCATGGAACAATTACTCTATGATGCAAGGGTTGATATTGTTTTTGCTGGGCATGTGCATGCTTATGAAAGATTTGTAAGTGAAATTTTTTTCAATTCAGTAAAATTAAGTTCAGATCAGTAAAAATAATTTCACTTCATTAAAAATAATTTCAATTCCGTAAAAATAATTTAAGTTCAACAAAAAACGATTTCAGTTTAGTAAAAATAAGGTGAAGTGACAAAGCCTTAATATCAGGTAGTTTGACATAGAACAAGTTTAAAACTAGTCATCCAAAACATATACTTCGTATTAATCTATCTACATGATAAAAGGTCACAACTTAATTTTGCAACGTTTAGGATGGTATCGAATTTGAAAGAGATGGAAGAGATTAATTCGATCCCTAAGTGTTATGGAGTATATTAATCTCATTTTAAGAGATCAATGTATCATGATTCATGAACGAACATAGTTGTAAAATTGATTGGTTATGTCAATTATGTCTATGACAAATTGACAAGACAAGTTATTTATTTCTAATGATGTTTACATCTTCACTTTGATTGTTAAACAGACTAGAGTTTATGATGGAAAAGCTAACAAGTGTGGCCCTATGCATATCACTATAGGGGATGGAGGCAATCGAGAAGGACTTGCCAGAAAGTAATTTTCTCTTAACCTTTATCTCAATTTATATGAATATGTATATATTTCTCATTACCATGCATGAGATATCTTATTACTTTTTTAAAATAGAGTTTGTTATGTTTGAAGGACTGATTCATTTACGAAAGTTTGTGTTTTTAAGAATCCACTCACAGCGAGTAAAGAAGGATTACTTGGATACACTTTAAAAAGTACATTTTTCGGGTGTTAATTGATTGATACCTATGCACACTAAGCTATGCCTTGATGTATATATACTAATTTCGTTTAAATTATTTGCAATGATTTAACATAAAGTGTGAATAGAAAATGTCTAATCGTTGCAAATAATTTAAAACGGAGGTAGTATATTCTTGGATTTTTATTTCAGAGTAGATGTGCTAACACTACTGATATATGAGGTGGATTTTTGCAAACACTTAATGTGAATAAGTATTGTGTCTTGATCTTCGATACCACCCTTAAAGAATGCATTTAGAAAAAAGAGTGCATCTTCTTACAACTAGCTCAATTACAAACTTAAGATTTTTCTCTAGATTTATTTGTAAATTTGTGTAAATGGAGTATATATGAGTTTGCCTTGTTAAGCTTATGGTTAATTAATTTTAATTACATAATATTCACAGATTTATGGATCCAAAGCCAGAGATCTCCATTTACAGAGAAGCAAGTTTTGGGCATGGACAATTACAAGTTGTCAACTCAACCCATGCTCAGTGGACATGGCATAGAAATGAGGATAATCTGCCTAAAGCAGATGATTCAGTTTGGTTGACCAGCCTTATTTCTGATCTAGATTGTAAACCACAGTAATTAGGTTAGATGTATATAAGATCATAGATAAATTGTTGCACATATTAAATATGTTTCATATTTGATTTAATTTGATTTGTTTGTGTATATATATATATATGAAGCTAACTTGTTAAAAAGGTATTTGTGATTACTTCTAATTAGAAAGAAAACTGTAGATTTTATTTTATTTCATTTTTTGCAAAATTTCAATTTTGATATAAACGTATAAAGTGTAATGGTAGTGACACTAACATCGCTTAAATTAGTTAAGCGTAAGAACGTAGTACGACTAGTACCCCTATGTCCCATGACAGACATTCCTTAATTTTTCATATACGCTAAACAAATCAACTAAAATGGTATGAAAGGATTATAACTAATTAACTATACAAGTCTACAATTTATCTTTGTTTTGTAATGCAGAATTGCAGAGTAATATATATGCTAACTAGATTAGTGCTCGTGCAATGCACGGCAATAATAATCTTTATTTCCATAATTAGTTTGTGATATAATATAAAAATGAGAAAACTCTTGTGGAATAAGCAAATGTAATGCATATAAGAAAAAAGAAATAATAAGACAAAAAATTTTAAAACTACAATTGAGAAATAAAAAAAAATATATATTATTTTTGATTAGTTGTGTTAAAATTTAAAAATAGTATACATTATATTACATTAATGATGCAAGTTATTCCCAATAAAACTATCAATGTAAATGTCGTATGAATTTTTATTAATGAATTAATTTAGTTCAAAAAAAGAATACTATACATTGTACTTCCAAAAAATAAGCTAAGTAGAATTTTATTTTATTTTTTAAAAAAAAAATAAAAAAAATTAAAGCTCACATCATATATATTGTATTGGCGGGAAATTTTTTAATGATAGCTTGACATAGGTCCAAAAATTATCGATGTAAGCATGACTTGTTTTAGTAATAGTTAATAGATTTTTTGAGTAGAAAAAAAGTTATAAGTTGGTAAAAGTATTACAGAAATATTTAAAAGAGAACTAACTTAATTATTATTATTTCATAAGATTTCAAATCAACACCACGAATAGAAATGTTTTTTTTTCCATTAAACCCCACTATTGTATAACTATATAATAGTAATTTAAAAATATTGTATTTTTGGCTCCAGTATTTTATACTCTACTCCACCATATTTCAATAACCTTCTAAATCATAGCTTATTCTTCCTTAATTAAAAGGTCTCAAAATCTAGTGTAACTATTTAAAGTAAATAGAACACAAAATAAAAAAAAAAAAAAGGAATACAATTATTATAAAGATAATACGAAGTATTAAAGATTATGAATAATCTAATATCATATCATATCACTAATAAATAAAGTCGGTATAGGTCACGAGACAGGGACACTTGGCATTCCAGTTTTTCGCCAAGTGTTGTGCCACGTAGGCGACAAATAGGTATTATTTATGACACATATGATGCTAATAATCGAATTTTGGACAGATTTTTGAAGATAAAAATATTGTATAGAGTTTTATTATCTATACACTACTAATATTTCATATATAGAAAATTAATCATAACTTTTAATAAAAATTTAATAACCCAATTCTATTTCCATCATTAAATTCATTTTAAAAAGTTTTTTTAAAATAAGATCTATTTATAATATACTTAAAATAATAGAGAATTAGTAAAAATAAGTTTTCATCGGTAAAAATACTTTTAATTTAGTAAAAATAATTTAAGTATGATATCGCATGTCTAAATATATATCCTGCATTATCAAAAGTGATTACATGACTGTATTATTCAAGCCAAAAGGTTTATCCTAAAATTTAATAAACAACCTGGACATCGCCCGGGGCACAAAACTAGTCACTAATATATAAAGCCGGTCTCGCAGGCAGGCCACGAGACATCGACATTTTACATTCCAGTTTCTCGCCAATTGTCGAGCCACATAGGTGACAAATAGGTATTATTGTGACACATAGGATGCTAAGTAAACCAATTTTGGATAGATTTTTTTAAGATAAAAATATTGTATAGTGTTTTATTATCGATATACTTCTAATATTTCATATATATACAAAATTAATTATAGCTTTTAATAAATATCTTATAACTCATTACTATTTCCATCATAAAATTCGTTTTAAAAAAGTTCTTTAAAATGAGATCCATTTATAATATATTTAAATAAAAAGTAGAAAATCAATAAAAATAAATTTTAATCAGAAAAAATAATTTTAATTTGGTAAAAATACTTTCAGTTCACTAGAAATAATTTAAGCGCAATAAAAAAATATCAAATTAATAATAACATAGATTTCTTTTTACAAATAAAACTACAAAAAGTACACTATTATATAAATAAGCGATATGATATATGTCTAAATATTTTACATTATCAAAAGTGGCTATATGATCGTATTTAACATTCAAGCTAAAAAGTTTAGGACAATTCGGGCATCGCCTAGACACAAAACTAGTATATATATAACGGGGAGTTTTTTCCCGAGATTTTAGAGTGATTTTTATTTTAAAAAATTATTAGAGCGTCACGTAATATTAATATTTTTAAAATGCTGCAATAGGATTATACCACGTAAGATTAGTTAACGTGCCATGTATGATTATAAATTATAGTGATAGCCAATAAATAATTCTATTGGCAAACAAAATTGGCGAATGAGATTTTAAATTTAAAATTAATTAAATACGAAATATTATCTTTTGATAATAAAATTTTTATCTAATATTTTAAAACAAAAAATATTAAATGATATACCACGTACAACTAATAAAATAACAAATTTAATCACATAAATATAAAATCTATTTTTAAAAAAAATACAAACAAACCGTGCATCACCCGGGTTCATCTAGTATATTATTATAGTAGTACTTGTATGTATTATGCAAATATTCTAAAAATAAAAGATTTTTCCTAAAAAGAGGGGAAGTTTTGGAGGGAAAAAATAGCACCAGAAAGTGACATGTGTTATTCCTGGTGTCTGTTTTAGTATTATGTTATTGATTTCTGGAGCAAAGGTGGTGCCAATTTCCATAAAATAGTAAAGGCCTAGTTTACTACAAGGGCCGGAGATAATGCATGCGCAGCGTGTGGAGTACTACTACTAATTAAATTCTTACACAAACAAAGAATACCAACAAATATAGTCAGAGAACTATTAAAATTATAACTTAGATTAAATGAAATACAAATATCAATTGACTTACATGCCAGGGTCCTTCCTTAAAGTAAGAGTGCCGATCAGCTGTACCGCTATGGTAATTCCCTTTCACCACTTCATCACCTTCACGCTTACCAGCAAAGAGATGCCTAAGAGAAGTCGACCACCATCTTTATCTATTTTTGTCATCTTGGTCACCAACAATGCAGCCACATAAATCGTCACCTTTTTTTACCTGTTCCACCACCAAATTAAAATCTGTAGATGATATATTTTTGAAAAATTGAAAATTCGAGCAGAAAATATGAAAAATTGAAGAAAAAGAAACTGAACCAGAAGAAAGATTCAAGAGGAGAGTGAAATAAAGAGAGACAGCTGACCCTACGTGAATGAAATTAACAGCACTTCGAAGCCTAATGACATTAGAAGCATCGACTTTAGCCAGCAACAATCGACATTAGAGAAGGACCTTGCATTAAAAAGATGAATCAGGAACTTCATCCGACTATGCTTGATGATAAGCTTCTGGTATATATGATGCAACTTGCTACTTTTCTGTGGTTAATTATCATTGCTTTCATCAACGTATCATCCAAGTCAGGATCACAGATTGACATACCACAGTCCATTAGCTCCAGAAAAGGTAATTGAGCTGTGGCAAATAGAATACCACCTGGTTGTTCGGCCCAGGGTCACCCACATTGTTGGGCCGCACGCACACTCCACTCCACATTAGTATGATATTGTCCGCTTTAGGCCTAATCCGCACGGATTTGTTTTTAGGCACCTTCCCAAAAGGCCCTCATACTAATGGAGTGTGCTTCCACTTATAAGGAAGTCATTCCTTCTTTCTTTCTGTGGGACTTGGGATGAGCAACCCAAACAAAATACCAAGTTGTAGCGATCGGAAGGGGGTCACTATGACACCTACAAGACAATTAACCAAGAATTCAATCTAATCAACCAAAATTCTCACACAACCAAATCAGCAATTAAGCAGTAGCAAACAGACAATAACACCAGCAATACTAGGAAGAAACAATAGCAATCAACACACATGAATTATACGTGAAAAACCCCTTCGATATGAAGGATAAAAACCACGGGACCATTTAAGGAGTCCACCCTAACTTCTCTTATTGATAAATTGAGGGAAAAAGAATCCCAAATCAGTTTACAAAGGATTCACAACCCACCAGCAACAATAAACAATAAAAGATTAAAAATAGAGAGTGAAAAGAGTAGAATTCACCCCAAAACAACAGTCAGAGACGTTTCTGATCAAACCACAGCTCAAAACCGACGATCCAACTGTCCAAAATGAGGCCCTTAATGTCAAGAATAAGCTGACAAAATTTGAGCATGATCCAACGGTGGAATTTCCGGCAACGACCAGTTTTGTAAAGGTTGCCCGAAAAATTCGAAAATGGAAGCTCTTGTAAAGAACCCTCACTCTCTCTCTCTATTCTGTGTGTGTGAATGCTCAGCTGAAATTAGCTTACTTTGGTGACTTGTTTACCACAAGATATCACCTCAAAAGCTTCCAAGTGAAGGCACAAAAATAAGCCTCAAAGAGGACTTACAAAACTTAGTAAAATGTCTTGAAATGGACCAAAGTAAAACTCATTTTACTACCACTTGGGCTGGACCCATAACAAATCTCCTCCTCCAGCCCAACACGGGGAAGACGACCATGCTTCATGATTACTTGAAGCTCAATCCCGCAAGCTTACTAAAAACTTCAAGCTTGCTTTCGGGAACCATCTTTGTGAACATTCTGCACCATTCTTATCAGTGTAGACTTTTTTAAGTTTCACTTTCTTCTCTTTGATCACATTTCGCAACCAATGATATCGAACATCAATATGCTTGGTGCGAGCATGATACATACATTTCGCAACCTATGATGAAAAATATGTTGTATTGTAAAGACTTACATGAAGCAGTGGAAACAACCACAAAGACAAATGGTAGCACTGTTAAACCAACAAAGCCTACAAAGCCTGATAAGATGGATGATAAAGATAGGGTAAAGTTGAAAAGGAAGACTTTAGGGACTACTAGACAATGAATTGATATTAGCATATTCAATCAGGTGTCACAAGAGTCCAACCCATATGATTTGTGGAAGAAACTAGAAGGTCTTTATGAAAGGAAGACCGCACATAACAAAGCTTTATTGATTAAGAAACTTGTTAATTTGAAATTGAAGGGTGGAAAGTCATTTACTGAGCATCTTAATGACTTCCACGATATTATTAACAAGTTGACTACTATGAAGATTGTTCTTGATGATGAATTGCAGGCTTGGTTCATATTGAGTTCTTTGCCGGACAGTTGGGAAACTTTGGTTGTGACTATTAGTAACTCTTATTAACAAGTGTGCGATATCTTTAGATGTGATCAAAGAGAGCATGTTCAATGAAGAAATCAGAAGAAAGGAGATGGGAGTTGATAATTCACAAGCTCTTGTTGTTGAGAACATAGGAAGAGGCAAGAGTAGGGGTCCCAAAGGCCATGATAACTCATGAAATAGGTCCAAATCCAATGATGGGAGAAATGTGACTACATGCAACTACTGCAAAAAGCCTAGTCATATCAAGAAGTATTGTTTCCGTTTGAAAAAGGAACAAAGAAAGAAGAATTTTTCACAAAAAGAGGGAGATGATAAAAACACTACAGCAACAACTTCTAAAAGTAATGATGATGTCACTTTAATTTGTGCAACTAGTGAGTGTCATCACTTCAGTGGCTTGTAGATACAGGGTTTTCATACTATTGTGTTCCCAGAAGAGAGTACTTCATGAACTACAAGCTTGGTGACTTTGGTAGTGTGAAAAAGGGAAATCAGAGCTGCATTGTTGGGTTAGGTGATATTCGTGTGAAGACGAGTGTTGGGTGCATGCTTACATTGAAGAATGTGCGCCATATTCGTGATCAATGCCTTAACTTGTTGTCTGCTAATAATGTTCTTGATCTAGAAGGCTTCCGACATACTTTTGGTGATGGTAAGTGGAAGTTGTCCAAAGGGCCCGATGACAGTTGCTCAAGGCGAGTTGTGTTGCTCCTTGTATAAAACATATTTGAGTGTATGTTTTGGTGAGCTTAATGCACTTATAAAAAGAACTCCCTAATTTGTGGCATCGAAGATTAAGACACATGAGTGACAAGGGTTTGAAATGTTTAGCAAGTAAAACTCCTCTTATTCCTGTTGATACTACAGTTGCTCTTGACCCCTATGATCATTGTTTGGCGGGAAACCACCACAGGAAGTGTACTAGGTGGCAAGCCAAATTAGAGCTTGTTCACTATGATGTTTGTGGTCTTATTAAAGTGGAGTCTAATGGTGGCAACAAATATTTGGTCACTTTCATTGATGATGCAACTAGGAAAACTTGGGTTTACAGGTTGAAGATGTAATGAACTGATATTCTGACTTGTATTTCAGATTTAATAAACTTGAAACTTTGATTAATAATGGTAGAAATTTGAGTACAAAAGTGATAGGTTAATAGCTTAAGGCTACTACTCTCTTGATAACTTTAGGTTATCACTCTCCTAGTAACTTAAGGTTACTACTCTCAACATATTTTCCTCACAATTCACATAATGTCCTACTGCATATACTATCCCCTATTTACACTAAGGCCAAGGACTACTAACCTAAAAGTACTAGGCTTCCCAAATTGCCCTTCCTAATGTTAGCCTATTACACTACCGGCCCCCTTAACTTCCACCTTGTCCTCAAGGTGGATGATAATCAGCACTCGATTTTCGGCAAAAGCAATGATCTCTCAAAGGAGGAGATTGACTTGGGCTGATGTAAAGTGGAGTAGTGAGTTGGGCGGTGACAGTAGGAGACAGAAAACTAGGCCTAAAGTCATTAAGCCCATTTGTTTGCCTTTCTTTCTTAACAAAGAAAAAGACTTTTAAATGAGCAAGCCCCTTTAATCTCAAGACCCCACTATACTTTGTGTGTTGGCCATCTGTTTTGTTTGAAGCACGTGACTCCTAGCTGAATGCCTTTGCAATATCTTCAGGGTGTATTACTACAATAACCTTACTAGCACTTTTCAAAATTGGCTTCCTCCACAAGCCAAAGACTTTAGTCAAACTTCTGCCAAATGCTGCTCCTTCTGCATACTTCAAGAAACCACCAGAGAATGGTAGCCACGCAAAACCCTCAAAACCCTCAAGCCCACATCGGCTGCCGCCACCTTTGCCACCGGCCCACCTCAATAAGCCGTTCCACCATTCTTCACCATCAGTCCCACTACCGACACAAGAGCGTAGTCCTCTTCCGACCAAGATACCACCGCTGGTAAAGCCACTAGAGAAGTCACCGCCCCTTCTTGCAACCATAGACGGTGACGACTCAATTTTACTGGCAATCTTGCCTCCACCCGCGCCGCATCTATTATTGCTGCTCCGGCTCCCTTCACCATCTTTTTCTCCTGCTAACCAACACCCCGAACCACCACCAGATCCACTTCCTCCGGTACCACCTTTCTCGAAATTTCCGTCACCCTTGTAAATGTTGCCCTCCTCACTGAAACCACCAGTAAAAACACTTTCAAAAGTGATAGCCTCACCACTAAAACCCCTAGCATCGCTAATTCCACCTGCATTCCCATCAGCTTGTGCGCGAGATCCACCACCAAACTCGCTGGCAATTTGACCTCGACCTCCACCGGTAAACCCATCTCCGAAATCTCTAAGCCTACCACCATATTTGAATTCTGTTGCAAAACCCTAACCTCCACTATCCAACTCGCCATCCAGATCCCATGAACCACCATATCTCCCATCAACACGGCCTACCTCGCATACAACTCCAGTTGGGATGTGTGTTAAATCCTCAGGTAAGTCATCTTTGAAAGTGCTCATCGCACTGCCAGATTCACACCCCACCGGGTCTTGCACCCCGTGACTCTTCTGATGTACTACCTTGCTGCTAGACCAGGGACCACAACAGGAATCAGATAGTGCCGTCGCCAAATGGAAATGACGGACCAACTGAATCTTCAATCCCTGCCACTCAGAGAATGGTAGCCACCAGTGTTCACATTCGAACCACTGCAGCGCTTCGCAGCAAAGCCCGATGGTGGCAACCTTGAGCTTCTCCTCTTCATTCAAATGGAAAAAATGAAAGTAATCCTCCATTTGGAAGATCCGGTCATCTGAGTTTCTTCCATTGAATTCGTAAATTTGAAGCTCCTGTCGTACGGATTCTCTTCTCCTCAAGATCCGAAATACCTCTCCCTTTTAAGGGAATTGTGTTTAAATTCTTCATGAATCCATTTCTTCATGACTCATACGCCATCTGTTCCAACAAACTGCATTGCTCAGTTCTTTTTTTTTTTTTTTTTTTTACCACCGCTCTGATACCAATTGTAATGAACTGACATTCTGACTTGTATTTCAGATTTAATAAGCTTGAGACTTTGATTAATAAAGGCAGAAATTTGAGTACAAAAGTGATAGTTAATAGCTTAAGACTATTACTCTCTTGATAACTTTAGGTTATCACTCTCCTAGTAACTTGAGGTTACTACTCTCAACATATTTTCCTCACAATTCACATAATGTCCTATTGCATATACTATCCCCTATTTATACTAAGGCCAAGGACTACTAACCTAAAAGTACTAGGCTTCCCAAATTGCCCTTCCTAATGTTAGTCTATTACAGAAGACCAAAAGCCAAGCTTAGTTTTAAAAAGCGCAAGGTGCAAAGTGTCCCTAGAGCCTAAGCGCAAAGCGAAAGCGCACACCTTTTGGATATGAGGCGCAAAATTTTTTTAATTTTAATTTTTTTTTTTATTTAACTTTTTTTTTGGCATTAAAATTCTATTTTAAAATCAAATTAAAGTGATAATTATTATATTTTATTTTATTTAGTGCTTTTTTAAAGAAATTTTACTGCTTTTTTGTTATTGTTTTGGTAAAATACTCAAATTTAAGCATAATAAATAATTAAAACTATTTTTCTTTTTGGGTAAAAAATAGGGGGAAGGTGGTCAGGCAGCAGCAGGCTTTTGTCATTTTATCAATTAAAAAAAACTGAAAATATAATAAAGTAAAAAAAATCTTTAGGTGGGTGGATAGAGTTGGCATAGGAGAGAGAATAATAAGAAAAGCAGAAAAAGAAAGAATGGAGAAGAGCAGAGGTCGAAGAAGAGAATAGAAGAAAAAACTTTACCTGGGTTGTTCACCGGCGTCGGCCGCCAGTCTGCTGCCAGAAACCGCCGGGAATTGTTCTGCGGCAATTCTTCAATTGCAAAGCAACCCATAAATTAGGTTTTTCAAAAAATTAGGGATTTTAAATAGGGGGTCATATTGTAGCAATTTTATTCAATTAACAAGGGGCTTTTGCTCGAATTATCACTATAAAGACTGGGTAAGCTTCAATTTGGGAAAAAAAAAAAAAAAATTCACAAAAATTAATCTGAATCCCCTTTTCTCACGCTTTATAAACATAAGGCGGCTAGGCGCTGCGCCTTGGTTGAGGCGCCTTCTGGAATGCGCTACGCCTAGGAAGGCCGAGGCGTTTTAGCCTGCGCCTCGCGTCGCCTCGCGCCTCAACAGCGCCTAGGCGCGCTTTTTAAAACTAAGAAGCCAAGTGTTCAGAGACATTTTAGAAATTTCATGATATGGTGGAACGGGTGACGGAAAGAAAGTTAAAATGCACTCATTCTGACAATGGTGGTGAATATACTTCACATAAGTTCAGCATGGTATTCGACATGTGAAGACAGTTCCACACACCCCACAACATAATGGTGTAGCAGAGAGGATGAACAGAACCACTATGGAAAGGTGAGGTGTATGTTGAACATGTCAGAGTAAGCAGTGCAAACTATAATTTACTTGATCAACCGTTCTACTTATATTCCTTTCGGTCTTGACATTCTTGAGAGAGCATGGAAAGGATGTGGTCCTACATATTCACATCTTGAAGTCTTTGGATGCAAGGCATACCCTGTATGTGCCGAAAGATCAGAGATCGAAGCTTGATTCCAAGACTACTCTATGTGTGTTTGTTGGCTATGGTGATGAAGAGTATGGGTTCAAGAAACAGAAGGTAGTGAGAAGCAGAGATGTAGTGTTATTTGAGCACGAGATAGGTGCAGAACTTCTGAGTGTAAGGAATCATACTAACTTAGATTCATTTGTTGATGCTATTGATGTTTCTTCTGTTCCTACCTTTATTTCTGTTGAACCCGCCAAGAGTTGATGATCTTGATGCAACACATAATGGTTTTGAGGAGGTATAACCTGATGTTGGTGGTGATGTACCAGAATTTGATGATGCTCCTAATGATGCTGAACCAAATGATGAAGAGGTTCATGAGCAAGGGGAGCAACCTACCCCGCTAGTGGATGATGTACAAGTTCCAAGGTCAATCAGAGATCACAAACCTTCTTAAAAAACAATCATCCTAGTTACTGATGAGGGGGAGCCCGAGAGTTTCCAAGAAGCGATGTCTAGTGAAGATAAGAATCTTTGGCTAAGGCTATGAAAAAAGGAGATGAATTCTTTGTTGGAGAATCAAACTTATGGGTTGGTAAAGCTTCCTAAGGGCAAGAAAGTATTGAAGAATAGATAGGTTTTCAAGAACAAGAAAGATGGTGAGAATATAGTAAAGAGGAAAGCTAGATTGGTGGTCAAAGGATGCAACCACAAAAAGGGCATAGATATTGATGAGATCTTCTATGAGAACTGTTTTGGGGTTAGCTGCAAGTCTTGATCTTGAGTTAGAGCAGCTTGATGTAAAAACTGCTTTTCTACATAGTGACTTGCATGAAGAAATCTACATAGAAAAACCTAAGGCTTTGAAGAAAAAGGGAAAGAAAAACTTGTTTTCAAGTTGAAGAAGACTGTCTATGGGCTTAAACAGGCACCAAGGCAGTAGTATAAGAAATTTGATTCGTTTATGACTAGCCATAGTTATAAACGGACTTCTGCAACTCCTTATGTGTATTTCAGAAAGTTCCCTGGTAATAACTTCATTATCCTTCTTTTGTATGTGGATGATAGGTTGATAGTTGGACAAGATTCAATGATGATTAGCAACTTGAAGAAAGACTTGTCCAAGTCATTTGACATGAAAGATTTGGGTCCTACAAAGCAAATCTTAGGCATGGAGATTGCTCATGATAGGAAAGTTGGAAATTTGTGGCTATCACAAGAAAAATATATTGAACTGGTGCTTGAAAGGTTCCATATGAAGCATACCAAGCCTGTTAGTACACCATTAGCGGCTCATTTTAAGCTAAGTAAGAGAGTTTGTCCTACAACAGTGAAGGAGAAAGCAAGTATGTCTTATATTCCTTATTCTTCTGTTGTTGGTTCTTTAACGTATGCTATGGTGTGTACTAGGCCACATATTGCACATTCTGTAGGTTTGGTGAGTAAACACTTATCTAATCCGGGTAAGGCTCACTGGGTTGCAGTGAAATGGACCTTTAGATATTTGCATGGTACCTTTAAACTTTGTTTGTGTTATGAGGGTGGCAAACCTATTCTTAAGGGCTATACAGATGCAGACATGGCTGGTGATCTTGATAACAGAAAGTCTACCACAGGGTACAAGTTACAAAAGTGTGTGGCCTTGTCGAGAGGCAGAAATAGCACTTGTGGAAGCAAGTAAAGAGATGCTTTGGTTTCTTTAAGAGTTGGGTTTGAAGCAAAGTGAGTATGCGGTACTTTGCGATAATCAAAGTACTATGGATTGGAGCAAAAATTCTATGTATCACGCTCGTACCAAGCATATTTATGTTCGATATCATTGGTTGAGAAATGTGATCGAGGAGAAGATGAAACAGAAAAAGTCCACACCGATAAGAATGGTGCAAATATGTTGACAAAGATGGTTCCCGGAAGCAAGCTTGAAGTTTGTGGTAAGCTTGCGGGATTGAGCTTCAAGTGATCATTGAAGCATAGTCGTCTACTCGTCTTCCCAGTTGGCTAGAGGGGGAGATTAGTTATGGGTTCAGGCCATGTGGTAGTAAAATGAGTCTCACTTTGGGTCCAATAATTTGGTCAATTTCAAGTCATTTTACTAAAGTTTTATAAGTCTTCTTTGAGGCTTATTTTTGTGGCTTCATTTGGAAGCTTTTGAGGCGATATCTTGTGGTAAACAAGTCACCAATTAAGCAGCTAAGGGTTGAGCATACACATGCACATATTGAGAACTAAGTGAGGGTTTTCAAGAGAGCTTCCAATTTCGGATTTTTCTGGGTAGCTCTTACAAATTTGGTCGTTGCCGGAAATTCCACCGTTGGATCGTGCTCAAATTTGGATAGCTTATTCCTGACATCAAGGGCTTCATTTTGGAGTTTGAGCTATGGTTTGGTCGGAAACGTCTCTGGACAGAACTGCTTTTTTTGGATGAATTCTACTCTTTTGACTCTCTAATTTCAATCTCTTATTGTTTGTTGTTGTTGGTGGGTTGTGAATCCTTTGTAAACTAATTTGGGATAATTTTTCCCTCAATTTATCAATAAAGAAAGCTAAGGTGGACTCCTTAAACAATCCCGTGATTTTTATCCTTCACATCGAAGGGGTTTTCCATGTATAATCCTTGTGTGTGTTGATTGTTATCGTTTCTTCCTAGTATTGTTGGTATTGTTGTTGTTTTGCTACTGCTCTATTGCTGATTTGGTTGTGCTATTTTGGTTGTGTGAGAATTTGGATTGATTGGATTGAATTGTTGGTTAATTGTCTTGTGTGTGACATTGTGGGTGTCGTAGGGACTCCCTTCCAATCCCTACAACTATAGGCAGAAAGTAGTGTGCTTTCAGAATCAAACAGATAATGTGTAACTGAAACCAACAAAAAAAAACCAAGGTAGCATTAAGTCTAAACAAGGAATAGAAATTTACTTGAAGTGATATCAGGGCAAAGCACTAGCAATAATCTTGATAAAGTTCGGGAGAACACGTCACATATCATTCCAATGCCACGATCAGTGATGCTAGACCTACATCAACAACAAAACAATCTAAGATTCCTGAGGTAAACCAAGTAAACTAGAAACAAAGCCTAATCTTGCTGATGAATGACAAATTTGACTAAGCAATGAAATATGAAGATGAGGCATTACCCACTCAAGTCAAGCAGCTCTAGCTTTGAAAAGCTGTAAGCAATAGCCCGACACTAATGAGAGCATCCTCAGTCCCCTGAACAAAAGGAAAATGGCAACCAATAGAATTCGTCAAGCCTCATTATTATATTCAGTTGTATACTAGAACAAAAGGTGTACAGCCATTCCTTTTTTTTTAACAAGAATTAAAAAAATCTGTATATTTGCACCTACCTCAAACTAGCTGCTGAGAGAGCAAGAACAGTAGCATGAGATAATCTAGGCGATGTAACATGAAAGTTCTGCAACCTTGGGCAGAATTTTCCCAAGTTGTCCATCAGGGTAGTGACATCAAAACTATCATTATCTTGATGAGAAAAATTCAAAGAAATCTCCTCAATTTAGGGCAGTTGATATTCTGCAGTGATGAGACCCAAGTAAGCACTAAAAAAAAAAGGGTTGACAAAAAGATTTAATAATATTAGTTCAGATATTTGAGAGTTATAATAAAAAGGAGGGAGTAATTACCGTCTAAGATAGAGAATGAAGATCAGAAAGCCAGAGTGCAGAAAGACAACTTGAAGAAATAATGACCGATCCTAGATTAGAGCATCCTTCCATCTTAAGACTAGTAAGACACCGTCTATCAGCAACAAAACAACCCAGCTCATCTCTACAGTACAAAAACAGCAATGTTAATGGCTTGTGATTACCAATTTACCATGGACGGTAATAATAGCCTAGGAAAAATGACATTCGATAATTTCAGGACATACGATATAGTGATAACACTAAAACTAATGAACCTATATGTTAAGATATAAGCAACCTCCCTCCCCAAAGTTCATCAGAAGGTTTTTCATTTGGCAATTGACATGTTGATCGTCACTTGAAACAATGACTTAGCAGCTATTTGTCTGCCAGAGGTAAGCTATCAACTACCAGTTGGGTTGCTCAGACCACTACAAACAACAATCAGCCTTGTAAAATCAATTCAAGTTGGAAGCCACTACCAGTTGTGTTCACAGCGTTACATAAATTTTCTGTCTACTAGAACAAGCACTAGAAGAGTTTGAACTTGTATATCCTTTAAAAAATATAATAAAACCAAAATATTGATGTTCAATTACTGAAAAAATACTCAGATTCATGAATTTCTCGTTGGAAAATAACCAGAAATCTAATTAATTGAACCAAAATGAATAAATCAAACCCTAGATGAATTTTTCAATAAAAAAAGAAATCACATAGTATAATTCAGCGTGATAAGGAAATACCAAGAACTGAATACATCAAACCCTAGATGAATTTTTCAATAATCAATCGTTTTATGATAGATCAAATTTGAAACATAAAGCCTAGTATCTAACTCTTGTTAATCACAATTCACAAATTAATTGACTATAGAAACTAGAAAGTCATAGAGAAGAAAGCATATCATAGGGAAATGGAGAGAAGAGCAACGAGTCATCTTCAAAGAAAGCTCAAAAGCCGCTTCAATGGAGAACCAGAACGATCTCACCTTGGAGGAGGTGGACGGCCACATAGTAAGAGAAAGAGGAGAGAGAAAACCCTTGATCTTCTAAAATTGGTACAGGAGGAAGAGGTCGACGGAGAAGGTGGACGCCAAAGAAAATGAAGGAGATGGTGAAGAACATAAAGAGGTTTCTCGTTTTTATCAATCTAATGAAAAAAAATGAAGTATGGAGTAAAAGAAGAATGGCTAGCTGGTTACTCGTATTTTTTTATTTTCTAAATTATTTGCAGCGCCTACAATTAAAAATGTTGCTAATACATTTTTTTTGCAGCATTCAAGAGCAAGGAACATTGCAATTTTCTTTTCTTTTTTTTTTTTTTTTTTTTTTTTTTTTTTTTTTTTTTTTTTTGCATCTTGCTTTAACTTAGAGCGCTTCAAATAAGTCTAAAAAAAAAATTCCCAAACTATTTGCAGCGTTTTTAGTTATAAAGCGCTGCTATTAATACATAAAATCTTTGACCCACGTTGACTAATGATATTTTGCAGCGTTCTATACAGAGGTTTGCTGCAAATAGTGTGCTTCAAATGACGTTTTTTCTTCTAGTGTAGTGACCATACAAGGTATCATCACACTGTTTGCAATCTCATCAACAGCTAACTAATGATTAAAATTTTAAAAACAATGGAATTACCAGACTGTAACAGTTTAACATAGCATCAATGTCCTTGGTAAAGCACAAATGTGAAGGTAGATCTTAATAATCTCAACGAATTTTTTTAAACTACAAAACAACCCATTAGCCAATCAAAATGAGCAACCAGCAATTGTTTTTTGTAGGATTAAGAATTAGTTTATTTATTTTTAACTTTAATGGGGGATCTCTGGTAAGAAAACAATGTTTCTGTATGCAAAATTACAAATAATCAACTTAAGTAGATGGAGAGGATGGAATAGGAACACGTCAGCACTTTTGGCTCTACATTCATTCCAATGTCATATAAAGATGCCACAGCAATGTGCAATACGATTTATATGCAGTAAATTCCGAACATCAAAATTTCAAAACTATTACTTTACCTAGTGACTTCAATATAACACATGTTGTACTTTCTTAAATTGTTGCAATCATAGGAAAGAAAGCAATGACCGGGACTTGTAATCAACTAACCTGAAATTCCAAAGGGCAATAGAGTAAGGGTGATTCATTGCTTCTGAATCAGTCTATATATTACTTTATGAACATGGTCTTCATAGCCTTTCAATCACACAAAGGTTCCTTGATCAAAAGATTCATCTTCTCCTGAAGAAACTTCAGGACATCTTGCCTCCTTTCTTTTATAAGCAACAGCCTCAGCTTGCGAAAGGTCAAAACTGGAGGTTGAATCCCCTTTTCAATCATCTCTTCCATATATACACATGCATCACTGACCTGGCCCTTTTCACACAACCCATTAATAAGAACTGAATAGGTATGCATGCTTGGAACAAACCTTTTTGACATCATGTACTTCCATACCTTCAGAGCCTGCTCCAACTGATCTCTCTCAAAAAACATCTTTATCATCATTGTATATGTGTCTGTGTCAGGCTCACACATCTTAATCATCTTTCTAAACACCTTGAAAGCCTCATTAGTCTTCCCCTGACCAATCAAACTGTTTAATATTATATTGCAAGTCCTAGCATTAGGTACAACCCCTTTACCATTCATCTCTATTAAGACCCGAAATACATTTTTCAATTTATTTACTTTACAAAATGCACTAATTAGGGCATTGTACACTCCCACATCAGCCTCCACACCATTTTCGGCCATATCCATAAATGTATCTATGGCGTCTTCAATTCGATTCTCTATACCATAAGTATGAATTAAAATACTATAAAGAAAAGATGTTGGCTTACAACCATTAGCATCCATGCTCCTAAGAGTTTCTACAGCTTCATCAGTTCTCCCTGATTTACAAAGGACGTCAACCATTATACCATATGTCACAATATCAGGATCGCAACCTACATTAATCATTTGTCTGAAAGTCTCCCTTGCCTTGGGGAGATTTGGTTCTCTTCCCCAACCAGAAAGCAGTATGCTATAAGTTTTCGAGTCAGGAACAAATTGTTCATGCATTTTATCAAAGATCTCTTGGGCCTTCCTTACATTCTTAGACTTGCATAAAGCACTTAGAAGCCCATTAAATGCAGCTAAGTTTGGAGTAATACCATATTTTTCCATAACATTGAATGTATAGAGTGCCTCATCCACCTTCTGCATCCTAGCATACTTTCTCATGATAATGCAAAACGTCTCAACACTTAGCATCCCCTTTTTCCTCATAGTGTTCACAAGATCCCACATAATCTCAAACTGCCTTATTTTAGCCAAAGACCCAATCATAATGTGATAAGCTTCAACAGTATGTGTGTAATAATGTTGCTTTCCTGCCCATTCAAAAAAACAATATGATATCATACCTGCATTTCCAAATCTCTTCAGAACATCCTCAACCATCTCTGGTGAAGCCTCAACTCCGCTATGATCAAGCCTGACATCCAGTCCTACTTTAGGAGATGACATCATGATTCTACATATTTTTTTAAATGGGGCATCAGATAAATCTTTGACGGCTGCATCAGATGTGTACATTCTAGTAACAACACTCCAGACTGAAGACAAATTCTTGTAATGATAGTGAGCCCTAACCATCTCCTTTTATCACTTCAAACTCGATCACCTTAAGCATTAAAAAATTTACATAAGAACAAGCTAAATATCTGAGGGTAGATTCTATTTATATATATATATATATAAGAAACAATGCATTGCTAATATATCAACATTACACGACCAATTGATTCAACTGCTATCTCTTCTTTAACTAGTATAGATTTAACATCAGCTAAGCTAGAACTTGCTATTTATAAATCATATACCTCTCAATCAGGTAAACATTATTCTGCAGTGTATTTGAGTTCCTTGTAATGGAAAGTGATAAGTTGCAAAATTAGAGGGAAAGATTGGATCTTTAATCAATGAAAATACAAAAAGGGTCTGAAACATGACTTTAGGCCACCACTCTTCAACTGCCCAAGCTTACAAATTTCTGGATACCCCCTCTCTAGTCTCTACTCTTTTTTTCCTCAATTGATCAAGTTCACCAACCCCTAAAATGCGACCTAGTAAAAGGAATTAATTACTATTACTCGTCTTCTTCCAAATATGACGAAAGAGCTGCTCAAGCTCAACCAACTACCAAGTGCTTGCTTAGCCTCCTATGTCCTGGTTTGCCTGGTACCCTGGTTGCGGCTAGTGCTAGCATCGCAACCTCGTGTAAGGGAGGGTCACAGGTGGTCTGTTGTAGTTCATCATATTCCCTTCACTAAATTTCCTCCAACTTTATGAGAAAATCATGTTTTCTCTTAATTGTTTTCAAACCTTTTCCATTTTGGATTTATCATGCTATCATCTTTTCATATTAATTTGTGCACAATCATCTAATTGACCTTTTTAATCGACACTATAATAACATGCTACTGGCTAACCCACTTTATAATACATACCTAAATAACAGTTAAGAAGAGTAAATAACAAGCTAAAGTTCAAAAATATTATAAACAAATTCAACCATGAAACCTACATTTGGAAATCTAATTCAACATCTAATAATTTAATAACCCAAGCAAGCAATTTCATCATTTGCAAGTTTAGCCATGGCAAATTCCAGAAGGAGTTCAGAGGTGCCAACTAATTCCTAAAATCAGATTAAAAAAATAATAATAAAGATTGAATTTGCCAAATTTAAATTTCGAAAAATAAAGAATGGAAAGAAATATAGAGCAGTGAGGTCTAATTTCATAGTTCAATTCTAACATTAAAGGGTTCTGCAATACTTTTAGCAACTAAATTTGATTCAGTTATCAAATAAATAGGGATATTTGATTCCATTATCAATTAGGCTCATAAATTTTATTTCTAACAACATAATCGCTGGTTATGATCTTTCATAATCTTAGTTTTTACAAATTTACAACCAAAATAGTTCAGATTTTCGAACACTAAACTTAGTACACTGACAATTAAATTAAATCAAACCCTAGATTGAAAAATTGATATGATGATTACAAAATGAAACAAAAATTTACCTCAGAAGCTGCTTCAATGGAGGGATACAGCTATTTCAATGGAGAACGTCAAGTGCGCTTCAATGGAGAACGAACAGAGAGATAGGAGTGTTTTTTTTTTTTTTTTTTTTTTTTAATGGGGGATACAGCAATTCAATGGGTTGGAGACTTGGAAGCCTTGGAGCCCCATTACAAGCCCCGACCCGCCCTAGTTATAAATGGGTTAGATCCGTCTTATTAATAAATAGGGCAGGTCAATAGAGTCATCCAATTATGGATTTTTGATGGGGTGTGAGTGTGTGACCTCGTGACGAACCCTACAAGAGATTGAAATTAGAAATAAATCTCTATTACAAAGAAAGAGTTTCCTTTCATTTTTTCAAATACCGTTTTCATATACCTACACCTAACAAAAACTGACACGACCTAAAAATAATGGATTTGGATTGAGTTTTCCAACTCGACATGGGTTGACATGAACTCGGCCTGAAAAAATTAAATGGGTTAGGTTAAGGTTTAAAATTTCAACTCGGAAATGACCTATGTAACTTAAAATATTAAATAAGGTTGAGTTAAACCAAACCCAAATTTAATAACTCGAATTAAGGGCAACCAAATTATTACCATTTGACTCATATACACCCCATCCAATTACCCTTATATAAATAATCTTATCCTAACTACTCTTAGAAAATTAATCACAATCCAACTACCCATTTTTTTCATTCTTTCTTCCTCTCTCTATATTTATACACGCAGTGGCAGCAACTTAGTTAATGTGTTTCTTTTCGAATCCATACTGCTCTATGGGTTCAAGTCAATTCGAAAGAATAAGCCAAATGGGTTCAAGTTGACCCATACATAGTTTTCATTAAAAAAAAAATTAAAATATTGATTAAACGGGTTAATTTGAACCCGATCGTACAAGAAATTAAATTGATCAGGTTAGGATTAAAAAATTAAACCTAGAAACTTAAACAAGTCAGGGTGGATAGAGGATAATCAACTCGATTAGAGCTGACTCGAACATGAATCCAACCCAACCCAACCTAATTGTCAACCCTACACACACCAAAGCTTGTATTAGTTATATGTAAGATTTATTTGGTGATGTGGATCTCTCAAGACTCTCACAAGGCTCGCAAGCTATAATAACATTGGATCTTCAGATTTTAACAAGAACTAAAGAAACTACACGAAAATAAAAAGGATAGTACTCTAATTTTCGCAAGATAGAGGGTATCTTCCTAGTCGCAACTAGAAGTGATCACAAGTCGCAACAAGTGATGTTTTTTATTAACAATCAAACGAGCAACGCTCAAAGGGTTAATTCCCAAACAAATTACTAGTAGAAAACAGTAAATGGCAAGCGGTTCAAAACTTCCCATTTAAAATGGCAAACCGCTTCCCATTTGAAAAGAATGGGAAGCGGTTTAATGCCTGCTCCCCATTATGGCTTTAAAATATAGAAGAAGAAAAAAATTCACAGAAATCGATACACAAAAATGAAACATATGTATAAAAATGTATATTTCCATTAATAATTAGTTGTAATATTACATTTTAATTAAAAAAAATAAATAAATTAAAACTACTGAAGCCACCACAGCACTGCATTTCTAGCCACCGCCACTGCAATGGACAACCATTAAAAAAAAATTAGATCAAAAAGTTTACTCATTATGCAAATAAATTGAAACAAATTCATTAACACGTCAATAAATTTACAAACCCTAACCAAATTTCAACTCAGAAAATGCAAATAAACCATAAATCTAACCAATTCAAAGCAATCTAACATAACCTAACAGTTCTTAAATGCATATAAAAGATGAAATTTGAAAAAAAAAAAACTAGATCTAAATTCTTACCTAAATTAAAATTAGACCTGAAAAACGCCGGTGGTTCTCGGTGGGTATCGCCTCGTCGGTGTTGTTGTTGGTGCTGCGTTGTTGCTCGGTGGTGCTTGCTCGGTGAGTCGGTGATGCTCGATGGTTTGCTGTGGTGGGGGCTGCTCGGTGGGTTTGCTGTCGGTGTTGTTGCTCGGTGAGAAGGAGATGAGAATAATGGAGAGATGCGTGAGAAGGAGATGAGAATGGAGAGGAGGAGAGAGAAAGGAGAGATGCGTGAGAAGGAGATGAGAGGAGAGAGATGAGAACGTGTGAGTGAAGAGGAGGAGAGAGAAAGGCCCGTATTATTTTTTAGGAATGGGGAGTGGTTTAAACATCAACCCGCTTTCAATTACAATATTTGGGAGCGGTTTAACCCAAAACCGCTCCTCATTTGTATGTTTCAGTTTTGTTTTTTTTTTTTTTTGGGTGGGTTTTTGTGGAATTTTGGAAGCGAATTTTAACAACCGTTTTCCATTTGGAGCTTCCCACTTACTTTTTTCTACTAGTGAATCTCTCGTCATTATTCATTAACTATTATTGATATGTACCTATATTTATAGGGTGAAAAATCGTACAAAGATAAGATAGGAAATTAATAATCATATCAGATAGAACGAATATTGAGAATCCTAATCCTAATATATCTCCTAATCATATTTCACTACTAAAATTTAAGTAATTAACAACGACTCAATAACGACCATATCAAAAATTCATTGTTAAAAGCATACTTATAACGAGGACTAAAAATGTTTCTCGTGAGTTCTGGACTATTGTCTACACAATGATAAAATAATGTTAAATTTCTGTCGTTAATAATCTAGAAATAAAAAAAAAAAAAAAACAAAATCGTCGTTAATAATATATGACGCGGCGGGATTAAGTTTTAGAAGCCAACGAAGGATATATTCAATATTTGGTATGTTATTATATCTCTTTTGAATAACAAAATTGTAGTTTAGGTTTTAGTTTCAATTTAATATATTAAAGGACTTGTTAATTTGTTAAAATCTGAAGTTTTTTCTTTGTTTGATTTTAATTTTGGGCCTTATATTTCAATCTGGTTCATCAATTTTCCCCCTTTTCTACTGTAGTTTCGTTTGATTTTTAGTCAAATTACTCAAGTTTGATGTTTTATTGAATCCTTGAGTTAACTATCTGATTCTTTTTTTCTAATCTGTTTAACTATTTGCATGTATCTCTAAATTATTTCCTTTAATTTGTCTCTTATACTCTGTTATCTAAGCATACAGGATGTAAATTTTTTTTCAATACTTTTAATTATATAATTTGTTGGCTGGAAAATTCGTTGTGTAAATTAGCATATATAAGTTGCTATTAAAAAACGGTGGTTTATGTGAATTAATTTGAGATAATTTATGATGTTATATAGATCAATCTCGACATACACATCTGATCTGAAATTATGACATCCATAGTTGTTCTAATGATATAAATAGCATATAAATTTCGTTTTTATCATTATGTTTATCGTGGGTTATTGATCTGATATTAGTGTTAAGGGTGTGTATGGGTTTTTGTCAAGCTATATTTGGTGTAATGGTTATATGTAAGATGATGTTAGTTACATCATCATGTGTGCTAGAGTATATTGGGAGACTACAATAATATATAAATTAGGAATAATTAAAGGGAAAAGTGAACCTTAACTTTCCTCTTTCCTCTCTCTTCGATGTTCGAAAATCCTCTGCCAGTCCGCCGCTCTCGCTCGTCGGCTCCACTCCCGGCACTCCGTCCCTCCGTCCGTCGAGTCGCCGCCATCGCTGCTTCGTGATTCACTGCTTCGTCCGTTCGTCGGCTCGTCGCTGGACTCGCTGCTCTCCATTCGACTTCGCTCACTTCGCTAAATCGCTAGACCCAATTCACGGTATTTAAATCTGAAAATAATCTCTGAATTATTAGTTTATTACTTGTTTAATTGTTTTATAGTTTATACTTTTATTCAATTATTCTGGGTATTGAATATTTGAAGTATTTAACTATTGAAATTTTGAAATGTGTTGGTTTATTGTCTTATTGAAATCTGTTGGTTAATTGGTTTATTACTTGTTTTTTTCTTCTGTTTTTGTGAATTTATAGAAATATTGAAATGTATAGTTAATTTTGTGAACTTTTGATTGCATTATTTTCTCCTGTTTTTGTGAATTTATTGAAATGTATAGTTGAATTAGAAATTTAGAATTTTAGGTTTCATTATTATGTAATGATGTGGAATTGTGGATTGTGGAAATTGATATATATTTTTCAATTTAATTAGGAAATGTCAAAAGATTCACCTAATTCAAACAAATCCAAGGCAACTAGTAAACAACCCGATTTTCGACAATTCTTGTTTAAAAGACCGAAACTCTATGAAAATGAGTCAAATTTTAATATTAGGTATTAACCAATCTGCGTGTTTGAGTTTTTTTTTTAAGCTTTTTGTCAAGTTAAAGCTTTTTGTCCCCCCAAGTTGAAAATTCCGGCTCCGCCACTGACTTAAAGGTACTTGATCGTTACCAAAGATGTAAATAATATTTGGTTTATTTGAAGGGAAGGAATATGGATCCCTCCCCTTCCCTCTGCCCCAAGTCATATCCCCCTTCTCTCTCACTTTCTCTTCCTTTTCATTCCCTTCTTATCTTTCTCATACTATTATAGACTAGTTGTAGAATAACTTGCTGAGATTTTTGATGGTATTCTTATTTTTTCTCTCATTCTTGCTCAGTGACAATATGACCAGCTATCTATGGAAGAAGTATGCAGATTATGTGTACACCAAATGGGAAAGAACAATTTTGTGGGATATGATTGAACCTTACAGACGGCCTAAATCATTTACGCCTCTTGTCACTCTTTATGTTGCTGCTTTCTACAGTGGAGTTATTGGAGCAGCAATCACGGAGCAACTCTATAAAGTAAGTTACTTGATCTTCTATGGACACCACCCTCCCCCCCCCCCCCCTCCAACCCCCCCAAAAAAAAAAAAACATAGTCCTACATTTTCTGGATATTTTCATGTATAAGAATTTAAGGCAATCATTATGTGCGGTGAAATCGTTCATGGGATTATCTTGGTTTTATTCTATGCTTGCTTCCTTACGACTGATTTAGAATTTAAGTGAATATATATTATTTTTTTTGATAAAAGTGAATTATGTCCCACTTAGATCAAGAATTGCCATTTAGGCCACCTACTCCCACAATTTCAAGGAATTCTCCAGTCCTTTTGAACTTCTTGACACGAACAGATTTGGGCTCCTATCACTTGCTGTTATATGATCTTTTGTCGATAATGCAATATTGATTTGACTTTTTATCTGGCTCCTAGTGAAAGTAGTGCAATTTTACTGTGAGCAAGGAATGTAGTTTTCATTGTGGCTATAAGACACAGCTTTTCCAGTGCACAAATAAATGCTCAGATTTTTTTTTTCCTCTCAATATATCTAAGATAATTATGAAGGACTTTCCTGTTAGTTTATCCATTATTCCATATTCTAAGTAAGTTAACACTGAGAGATTGCCCATGTTTAAGATAGATTCCTAAAAGCTTTGTACAGCTGAGTGTGAACAGCCTAGGCTAGCAAATCTTCTAAGGAATAATTTGGTATTTAGGGGAAAATAGAGTGTTTTTAGCCATGTGACATTTAGTTATTATTGAAGAGTGAAGTGTAATCACACAAGTCTTTTTACTGTCCGCCCCTTGTATTAGAATTTCACTAATGGACATTGAAGAGCTCCCCCGCCCTGAATTCTGATCACCATTTCGGTAAAGTTTACTCCCCTTTTATCCAATTATCTAACCCTTTTTAGAATTTGGTGTGAACTTTGTCTATGAAAACAGAAAACCTTTTTCGGTTGTGTACTTGTTTCTTGCTATAAGGTTGGAAAATATGGTTGGCAATTTGGCATTTGGGGAAACCTGATTTATTAAATTGTGTGCTACTGTGCTGCATAGCTTATGTTATGCTATTGAAAGTTTTATGTTATGCTCATTACTAGTTACAGCTGAGCTTTTTATCTGATAAGTAGTAAGTGACTAGCCCCTTGGCCTGTGCTCTATGAGGCAGTGGAGTCAGGCCCAAGGCTTTCTCGGTTCTTTACATTCATTGCTGACTTCGAGCAGGAAAAATATTGGGAAGACCATCCAGGAGAGACAGTACCTCTGATGAAACCTATGTTTTATGGTGGTCCATGGAAGGTATACAGAGGGGAGGTTCCAGTCTACCCCAGTGACAAACCCAAGTAAAATAAGAACGAAAGTTGAGATATCATAACTCTATATTCTTGGAGCAAGATTGCATGTCTGAGCTTAACTTTTACCTTCTCAACCCTCCTCAGTTTTCTTTTATCTTTGTGTTTTACAAAGTAGCCTTAGATGGGTGACAGCATCTTCGACGTATTTATATTGTTGTACATAAAAAGGTACAAAGTACCATATCTACAATGTGTGATCACTCTTTTTGGAATGAATTTCATATATTTGATGTGCATCAATTAATTACGAGTATTCAATTTTTGGAGTCATACATAAAAACAAACATCTCATAAAAAGTTTATAACGATGTGACGATAAATGATGTTTAACGATCATATGTTATCTCAAGCCTATTATACAAATGCATAATTGATCACTCGTTTTTTCCTGTGCGCTCATGATATGCTTGCTTAAACAAAATCAAAATGAAATATTAACCGAAAAATTAAGTACAAACTGACAACTACATATATTCTTTTCGTATCTTTCTTGCAAATAATGCTTCATTGCTTCAGGTGTGCAATATGAAAATATTTTGTCTAATTCAATTACTCTTCTTCCATCCCCTCTTTTTTCTTTGGAGGATCTAATTTTAATATATTAGGGTTATCATTTATTTTTCTCTTCAACACAATAAAGTACATTTTCTCGTCAATTCCATCCCAATGAAGTCCAATTTTATATCCTAGTTTAAGTCCTCTCCGGTTGACAACTTTGCTTTTGTAATTTCGAATGAGCACACAACTTTCACTTGACCATATTCTTAAAGTCATCTTAAATTCATATTTATCATCCCAATCAATGAAATCAATTTGATAACCATCTTTCTTGCTTTTCTCTTGAATTTGTATTTTCCTTCAACGAAGATAAATCGACGTATTTTTCACCATTAACCTCACAATTTTGGTCTAAAAGAGTAGATTTTATGGTATTTTCCGTTTCCACAGAGTCATAGAAGGTGTAATTGTTTATCAAATGTTGAACCCTTTGTTTCTCCATGATTGATTCATCAGAATTTAACTTTCTCCAATGTTGTTACTCTCTGTTTCTTTGCTTTTTTTCATGATCAAGAATAAAAACAAAATTCTTGAAGGTTTTGATGAAATTATGAAGAAGCTAAAGTGCTAAACTAATAGAAAAAAGAAGAGTTTGAATTGATGTACTGTAATTCGAAAGATAGGAGAAATTTTATTTATAATAATGGTGTAATTTCCTTGAAGAAATTATAATTCTAATAGGATTTGGAAATCTATCCTTTTATATATAATGGAGAAATTATAATTCTACTAGGATTTGAAAATCTATCCTTGATCCTCGTCTTTTTTAGAAAGATGCAGGTTTTTTTTTTTTTTTTTTTTTTTAAGTTCTGTTATTTTATACACTTTTTTTTTAAACTTAGTTAATGAAGTGGATAAATATATGATCATTGATTTAAAATAAAAGACTGATATTTTTTTTAATAGATTTTTTTTGGAAAGTTTTAAATAGAATAAAAGATTGCTATTATTCAAACTTCATTTTTTTCCCCCTACAAATATAAAGAGGCGTATACTATCAAGTAAAATATTGTGTTATATTCATCTTTATGTTAATTTCCTTTTTTTTTTGAAAGATATCTTAATTTATTAAACATAATTGAATATCTATACATATTTTAATTTATTTTGGATATAATATTGAATTTGGGTACGTAGCCATTGTTAAACCTAATTGAATTTTCTTATCACGGTTTTTTTTGGTTTTTAGATAATCTGCTAAAAGTAGTTCCGAAGACTTGATTTTACTCTCTAATCTCTATGCATGCCAACATATAGATTTGATATGATTTCCACATTGCAATGCTTTTATACCAATTTTTTAAACATTATAAAGTATATGTAATTGACTTGGGTTTAGACCATTAAATTAGGAATCTCTCTTATTTTTATACACTTGGGAGTGTC